ATTAAAAATTTATATAGTTTTAGAACAGCATAGATCTGAAATGTTGAAAAAAAAAAATTTTTAAAAAGTAAATAGTTTTTATAAATAATGAGTGTTTTACACCTCATGAATCACCCTGTATATAATATATTAAACAAGGTGTATATATATTATATATATATACATATACATATACATATATATATATATATATATACAATACACACCACAAATTAAAATATTTTAATTTGTGATACATATTACACACTTTGGTTCTTTGATTTGTACGTATTATCACAGAATAGTTACTTATTACTTATTACCTTACTTCTTTGTGTTTACTATGTGTTCATAGGGAAGTTAAAGTAAACTATTAACCAAATAATTGATAGATTTGGAAAAAGCGACAATGTTAAAAGACGTTTAGATTTTATTATTTAACATATAACATTTATAAATTAAATAATCTAAATAATTTATTTATTACATTGATTACCTATGTCCTAACCTACTATTATGACAACATTTTTAAATTATAAATAAAGTACCTATAAAAAATTTTTAGGGCCCCCCCAGATTTTTTCTCTGGATCCTATGCTTGAGTCCACGTTATTATAAAACTATTATTGAATACTACTATATTTTAGAGACATTATTTGGCGAACCCTTGGTAAAATAATACAATTAATATACTCAAATACTATTATAWTACAGTGTTTAAAGTTAATAATAAATATTTATATTCTCGGTTCCAAGTACAATTTCAATCATAGATTTCTGGTATTTAACTTTTTTTAAACTTTTTCTATATCAATTAAGTATATTAAACTGTAAAATGAAATAAACACTGTTTAGTGTGAATTATGTAGTATTTAATTAATTATTATTAATCAATACATTTCATTATTTTACCTCAATGTTTTAAAACAATACTTACCATTCACTATTCGTTTAAGAAATAAGGTATGAATTATGTGTACTACAAGGTATAATATTAATGGTTTTACAATTTTTGAGGATGGAATTATTCATGACTATCTTTATGATATATCAACAATTTTTACAAATAGTTCCATAGCTTTCACTCATGTTTTAAGTGTTTGTATATTACCTTAAATAAATAAATCAATTTTACTCCTAACAGGATACATTTTTCTATTGTCTGGTATTTGATCCCGTCCAGAAAACATTGTTGGCAGACAAGGGGGAAATCCGTGTTGGCCATAAATATCAGGCTGAGGTACCACCAAAAGCTCTCTTTAATCATGGTAGTAGTGATGTAAATACAAAAGATACAACGACAAAACTGATAAAAGGAGAAATATTAAAAGAAGAACACACTACTGATGGTGATGGAGAAGTGTCTATGGTTACAGAATGCAGTCGAGACAATGGTGATGATGATAAAGATATTGATGGAAAATCATCTACTGCATTAACTACTGTGACAGCATTAGGAACTGTAACAGCAGTGACAGTAGAAAGCAATTCTGATCTTGAGACTTTGATATGGACATGCAGGCCGCAGTGGAATCGTTTGACTGATAGGCAGATAGATCAGTTTTTGGTCGTTTCCAGATCATTGGGGACATTTGCTCGTGCTTTAGATTGCACCAGTTCAGTAAAACAGCCTTCGTTACATATGTCAGCAGCTGCTGCATCACGAGACATCACATTGGTGAGTTTTTCATAACATGTCAAAATTGTTCAATGGTAATCAGTGGAATTTGGGACTTATTGACCTATTGTACTAAAATTATTGGAAATTATGCATTGACATATATATCTAAAATAATCGAAATATTAATCTAAACATTTTTTTTAAATAGCATTAAAAACCTTTTGACAATGTGTTTAAATATATAATTTTATTGTTAATGTCGAGTAACCAAATATTGCTTCCTTTAAATTCACAAAACAAAAAAACAAAAAAAATTCTATGCTATAATTTTTACTTTATGTATAATGTTTAAAATGTTGTATAATGCAGTAAAGATAAATACTATAAATTATCAAAATGTCTACTTTAAACGTGAAAATGTATACATATGCTAAAAATAATGTTTAAATGCCAATATTTTGCAAATAATAAATAATACTTTTGCAAAGTAATAAATTATGCAATATACATTTTTGTGATTAATTTTGTACCGCCCAAAACAAATTTAAAACTAAATATTCTACAGCCATAATTATTAAAGAAAATTCAAATCAACAAGTTCCAAAACTGGTAATTAATTATGATGTATCATATTATGTTTTTTTTTTTTTTTAAATTTGACTAGTGTTGTTTTAACTATTAGGTTAGTGTTCTATTGGCTATTAAAAAGCTATTAACTCTAATTTTATTTTGTTCTTAAAATAACAGTTTCATGCAATGGACACACTGCATAGGCATGGTTATGATCTAGGCTCTGCCACCTGTTCCCTAGTGCCTAGTACGGGACCTGTATTGTGCCGCGATGAAATGGAAGAATGGTCAGCGTCTGAAGCAAATTTGTTTGAGGAAGCGTTGGAGAAGTATGGCAAGGACTTTGGTGACATACGTCATGATTTTGTTAGTATAYCATGCTTTTAAGACCTTGATTTAAATTCCAGTAGTTATCGCTTATATGTACTGTATTACTTGTTATTCAGAGTAAATAATTATTGATTTATATGAACATGATGTTACAGCTTCCTTGGAAAACACACAAAAACATAGTTGAGTACTATTACATGTGGAAGACCACTGACAGGTATGTGCAGCAAAAGCGTGTTAAGGCCGTAGAACAAGAATCCAAGTTGAAACAAGTGTATATACCTTCTTAGTGAGTATTTTTTGTAATATTTAATGTTATCATGAAGCTTAGATCTTAAGGTTGAGTGTATTGTTAAAGATTTTTAAATATTAGTCAATAACATGGCCATAAGAAATAGTTATAATATATCATTGTTAAATGAACTTTCATGTGTTAAGATGTTAACTTTTGATAGTTATCAGTGTTTAAAGCTCTCGTGTGTGTAATTATATTTCATTATTGCTTRTTGATTTATTTCTTAGCAGCATACTATTGACACATATTATTAATGTCTAATTATGCACTCAGAATTTTTGCTCAGGGAGACTTACAAATTGACCTTTTTTCCCTTACATAATTATATATAATTTAACATTCATGACATTGATAATTAACAAAAATAATTATGATTTTTATTCTTGTTATCAATCAAGGGTGACAGTCTACACCAYCAAATTAAACCACCACTTCACAAATTTAAAAATAATTTTTTAACAATTTAATCAATTGATGATTTCTATAATCTTTATTATGTACAACTATTAATCTGTGCCTAGCATAGTAATTAAATTTAAAAAAAAATATATTTTCCTTCTATGATGCTAAGTCCAATATAAAAAATAGTTAATAAAGGCTTCAGCTCTAAGMCCCCTGCTTTGGATAATATGCTACTGCTGTCTAGAACAACAGTTTCATGATCCKCAATTTTATCTCTTGTGTAGTAATGGAACAAGTGGTGGAAAGCAGCAGGCTATAACATCGGGTGTAACAATAAAATCTTCACAGCAGCAACAACAGCTTGTAAATGGTAACTCGGCAGCTGTGGAACTGTATTCCCCCAAAAATAGTAGCGGTGGATTATCTATTACAGGGGAGGGACCATTACAACCAGGATTATGTGATCTATGTGATGGTGAGAAAGCATTTATATAGATAGTAGATACTTTTACATTTTGTCAATAAACTATGACGGCGCCACGAAAGCAATGCGAAAGCAATTCCCGCGGCGTCGTTAGTTAAAAACTGGAAAAAAATAAGATATATTTACATTTATATTAAACATACAAAATAAATAATTATTGTGTAACTTATAACCATAAAAATAGCTGTATCCTCGCATCAATGGTATCCAAACACCATTGGAGCTACAACCGGAACCTCAGCAATATCCTATCATCAACAAAATGGAGGACTGTCTTCAACAATATCATCTACATTATGTCACGAGTGCTGGACTCATTGGAAAAAATATGGAGGTCCCAGAACTGCTACTTCTGAAAAGAAAGTTATTGCAGCTGCTAGAGGAGAAAGCATGTCTGGAGATGAAGGTAGTAATAATGACATAATTAAAACTGTATGCTTAATACATCTTAGCAGAAACAAATGAAATATGAGTCAAATTTTTAAAAAGTTCCTGATAAGTATAAATACTCATTCAGTATAATATGTTACGGTAAATTATGATGTTTAGGTATTACCAAAATTATTTCTTCTTTTATAAATTTTTTAAATTTAATATTCATATACACATATTTAGTTAAGTTACCTATACTAATTATAGTATTGATATCTAATAATAAGTGAATAACACCATTTTCTTAGTTTTACCGTAATATAATCATTATTATATACAATATGTACTATGAATGCATGCTGGTTACATTTTCAATTAAATCCTTTAACATGGTTTTCATTACAAGATATAAAGGTGTATATTTTTAATTTATAATTCTCAGGCTTGATATGCAGCTCAGTGATGGCCGGCCCCCGCATAGTCGAGGTCAAAATGAGTGATGCTGAATTTTCTTATTTAAAATAGTTAGGTACACTGCTTTTATCAATATTTCCATTTTTCGACAAATCACTTACTCAATATGAATACTACTTCAGAGGCTCCATTTCAAGTTTTAATATAAAATAATTTAATTTAATTTTTACTTGCATTTTATCTCCAAGTTTTATGTTTTTGCCCTGATTTACCATTTATATGTTATCTCTACTGTGAAAGTTCTGTAGTTATTTTTTTTACTTTTTGTTTTCTAAACTAAGAATTTTTTGATGTGAGTTATTGATGAGTCAATAAAATTAATTAAAAACATCTTTTTTTTTTATTAACTCATAGCTAACAAATATTAAATTATGTTTTGATGAAATTGTGATGTTTGTAAATAGATCGACCACATTCAAATGCATCATCCAGTTCTCTGGCAGCAGCAATGAACTTAAATGTATCAGCTGGCGGTGGCAGATCTTCATCACACGGACCAACCATGTCGACTCCACCCCATCACCATCATCATCTTATGCACCTTGGTGGTAGTGGAAGTAGTCATCATAGTAGTTATCATCATCAGTCCCAGCACCACCACCATCAACAGCTCCACCATCAACAACAACAACATTTACAGCAGCAGCAGCAACAACAACAACATCAGTCCTCAGCTTCTTCACCAGGTGGTGGTGGTCTATTACTACATCAACCACACATTAATTCATCTGGATCAACGACAACTGCTCATAGATGTACTATTATTGGGTGTCAAGCGGCTCCATTCAAGAGTAAGTCTCAGCTGCTACGACATTATAGTACAGCACATGGCATCGGGATAAATTCCAACAGCAGCAGTAGTCCTAGTGCTATCATCACTTCAATTGGTGGTAGTAGTAGATCTTCTGGTAGTGCTGGTATTGATGGTGGTGGGAGTGAAAAATTATCCCCACAGCCGCCACAACAGCAGACTGTTCCTGGCGCAGGACTCCTCCACCACAATTCTGGAGGGCCTTTAAACTTGAACAGTAGTAATCCGATTCAACATTCTATCGGAAGTAGCTCTGCCAACCAAGTAATTAATCTCATTGCATCGTCTTCTTCACCACAACAGCAGCCTAACAACCTATCCACAAGTGGTGGGGGCGTAACAACAACTGCAGTAATTACAGCAGGAGGAGTAGCTACTGCTACTGGGCGGCCGGTTATGAAGACAAGAACAGCATTTTATTTGAGATGCACATCTTTGGCCAAAGCAAGTAGGCGCCGAGCTGCGCAACAAGCTGCAGCCGCACTATTACAGCAACAGCACCATCAGAAAAAAGCATCTTCTAGTGGAACACAATCGGCATCGGTATTATCACCAATAGCTTCAGCCATGGTTCAACCTGGATGTTTAGCTCGTCCTAGAAATGTAGCTCGTAGACCATTCATCTGTGTTCCACAAACTGCACACTCTTACAAACATGAATGTGAGTAAAATAGTAAGATAGTTATAACATTTTGTTTTATATTACTAATGTACTAAACAATTTAAGTTCGGTATTTATCAATAGTGTAGAGTGAATTTAATGCTCGGACAATTTAAAAAACTCATAAKGTCAATAGAATTTTTGTATAAAATAATTTATTTAATTTGTATGTACTTACTTGTTTTATTTTTAAATTTGATACATACAGTTATCTAGAATTAAGTAGGGAGAATAGAATGAACTTTCTTAATTTTTTTTGTTTAAACTGAGGTCATATTTTATGTTAGAATATTTAAATCAAATGAGATCAAGAGATTTGATGGCAGTTTGGAGAGATTTGGGTTCTTGAGAATTTACCTGATGTTTTTAAATAACACTAAGTTGTTTAAACTTTTTAATTTTAATTCAATATCTATCACAGTATATTTGCATTATTTTTCTTTACTTTATAAACGACATTTTAAATTTAAATAGCTAGTGGTCGCTGGCAATATGATAGCTACTTTTTTTTCTCTAAAATTAGCAATTCACCAACTGATATACAACATTATTTTAATACATTTGCTTTAGGTAATTATTAATTTTTTTAGTTTGGTTATTAATTATCTATATCTAATATTATTTCAAAATGAGGGCACTTGATGTTATGAAACCATCAGAAGTTTATTATGAGAAATGTGCTCATCAGTGGCCACTTTTCATTCTTTCGACTAATGTATTGGGATTTATGTATATTTAATTTGAAATATATGCTACATTTCAGGTATGTTGTCAATGCAACATGTTCCAGTCCATGAATTAAGAGCGTACTTGAGGGCTGCTGCTGTTAAAGCACATGCACGCCGACCCGGAGTTACTCGAGTAGCCAACGCTTTAATAGCAGCTAGAAGAGGTCGTGGTGGAATGAATGCAGCCACTGCTGCTGAAATAGCTGTACCAGATTGGCTGTCTCTGCCTTCCCAACAGCATCAGCATCAGTCGTCTCATCATCATATCTCGTCTTCATCAAAACATGGCAAACATTCTTCAAGATCATCAACAGGTGGACGTGTCGCTTTTCCCAAGCCACCAAAAGCTCCTGGTCAGTATTTTAATAAATTAAAATTTAGTAAGTAACTCTTATTAAATATTTTAAGTCTAAGAAAGACAAAAATTATTTTAGACTGAGTAAAATGAAGGTAAAATAATAACCAAGAACCTATTTAAAACATATTTAAATATTATAARTAAAAACATTAACTGTTTTCTCTTTAAAATATAAATAAGTAAAATAATAAAACAAATAACAATAATTAAAATAAAATATATCATTAAAATATTCATTGATTAAAATATCAACCTAATAAACAATTATTTTAATTATTTTCCTGTCACTTATGTAGATGATTCTAATTAAAGTCCAGGATCTTAAGATGTTAATTAGTTGAATTAAGATAATTTTATCCATTTTTCTTTCTGAATCTTCATATTACATTGATGTTAAATTAGTTGCATAAGAGAATTACAATCTTAATATTTACACAAGTTAAATCAAATAAGTTTGAGAATTTATAATAAATTATTTTTTTCCCTTATTTCATTTATCTTTAGAATAACTGTATGAATAATAAATATTTAATAATAGTCACTATTAAATTATTATTGACTTCATTAAAAGTGGGGTTAGCTATAAGGAACCTATAGATACTAATATTATTCATCAGATGTTCAAATTTAAAATTATTATTATTTTTGTTATTTTAAATAAAGTTTTTGTTGAATAATTTTATCATCTATCTACCTCTCTGTATTGTTGACTGTATTCCGAATAAGAAAGCTACCAGGTGGCTACAGATTTTTGTCGCTGGTAGTCAGATGCTTCTTCTACCAACGTTGGCACATGATTCAAAGCTTCAGAACGCACAAGTTGACCACCCGGTACTTTTTTATTCTTAATAAAGTATAAATATCAATGGTTAAAGATTTTTTTCAATTACTGTTCATATTGATTTATTGGTGTATATATTTAATAACTTTTATAATTTTAAAACTAAAAAAACTAATAAAATAATCTCAACATTGTTTGTTAATGCTTAATATAGTAAACATGCTCTTCAACTGTTAATGGTTTAGTATAATAAACCTTAAATATTACTTAATAAGGTTTCAATAAATTAATGTAATAGATAACTTTTATGTTTTAAGCATACCCTTGCAATTTCATTTTATAGTAATAATGGTTTTTTTGACCATCTAATTGCATAATATCTGTATAACATTGTTAAAATCGAGTATAAATCAGTATAATATATATTATAACGACCGCAATAGTATAGTATGTAATATTTTTTGTTGATTGAAATATATGTATTTCAAAGAATAACTAAAACAACGTACTTCATCATAATGTTATTTTAATAATATGTGTGGATGTATAATTGTAGATGGCAGTTTGCTATACGAACGAGTGCCTAATAAGCAGGAAGCGGCTGCGGCTGCAGCAGCTGCTACTTCTGCGTTGAATAATCCATCTGCGGCTGCGGCAGCAGCAGCAGCTGCTGCAGCTGTTGGACTAAATCCAGCTGCAGCAGCTGCAATACTCGGAGCTTTAGGTCCTCCGGGATCTGTCAATAGTAGTAATTCTGGAGGGACATCTGGTTCAACAAATGATCAATCGGCCACGGGGTTTGACGTGGCAGCTGCGGCCGCTGCTCTATACCAACAGCAGCAGCAACAACAACAACAGCAACAGCAACAGCAACAACAAAGCTCTTCGTCGTCAAGCAACAAGAGGCGGTTATATGAAACTGATAGTGGTGAGTGTAATTGGGTATTGTGCACCAATTGTCTTACAAAACATTTGTAATAGTAATGGACTGATTAAATGCTTTTGTGATTTCTGTTAGATTTGATTGATTGATTTTAATCTGCTTAAAATCTAAATATTAAAGAAACTACAAAGAAAATTATAGTGGTCTTAACTCGCGATTCTCAAATTTTTTAGTTTACGACACTTTTGGGCGCTGTATAAAAACTCCAATGTATCTTTCACACTACAATATTATGTATAAATGTTTTATGCTTTCAATAATTTTGGGGCAAACCAAGCATACTAGTTGAGAACCATTGATTTTTAACTCTTCAATTCAGATTTTTCTGATAATTTAAACTTGAAATCCTGAGATTTTGTTTGAGTATTGATCTGTATTTGAATACCACCTCTATTATTTTTAAAATTTTATTTAATACAATAAAGCTTATGCTGTTTACACTTTTTTATAATAATACATCTCTAATAGAATAAGATTCTTTAGTGGTATTTCTAATAAGAGATCATTTTTCATACAATGCTTAGATTACAAAGTAGGAGAGTAAGAGGAGTACTATTCATACAAATTTTAATGTAATTATGAATATTTTTCTCAGCATCTATACAACAGCAACCACAACCACAAGCTGGGCCACCATCAAAACGTATGCATCGCCAGCAACATCACTCACAGCAACAACAGCAATCCACTGGTCATCTCCACCACAGCCAGCAGCACCTACAACCTTCATCAACATCACAAGGAGGTAGTGGAGCTGGCGGAGGTGCCGTAGACGGAATGCTGGCATCAATTGTGGCGCATCAACAGCAGCAACAACAACGAGGTAGTATGTCAAGTGGAGGACCTTTACAATTAAACGCCTCTGGGAGTGGTGGTAAATCCAGTAGCACGGCAGGCCACCACCAGTCACAGCATCAGCAGCATAATCATTATAGGACACCATCAATGGCTCGGACTGGAAGGAAGCATGTTATATCGTGGACGGATGCTCCTGATGACTTGTATTATAGATGCACCACATTGTCGAGGTATGATAATTATTTAGCCTATTACCACAGCACAAGTTATGTGGTTTTATAAAAATGTTAGCTCAATTTTTCATATTTAGATTATGGTTATTAATCTATTATGATTATTCGAAACGTTTTATTAATTATTTTATTATATGTAGATCATTGCGGAAAGCTAGGATGACGGGTAAAGAGCTAAAGCGGTCAGCGCGCAAGCCTTGGCAGCCAATCGCTGCACTTCTCGGTATATCATTTGCAATGCCGCCTGCAGCTGCTTCATCGTTGGCAACACCAGTAGGAACAGCAGGGACTACGGGATCTCCGGCACCACCAACTGGTAATACAACCGTGAATTCATCATCAATTGGGCCGGCTACACCATTTGACATGTCCACTGGCAGTGTTGCTAGTGGTGGCGCTGGCGGTAGTAATAGACAATTGTCTGCCATGTCGAATCAGTCAGCGGCACCGATAGTAGCACCATGTATTAGTGGCACACTTTCAATGTCATCACGTACCAGTGGCGGTGGTAGTAGTCATCACTAAGTACCACGATTTTGTGTGGACTTTGTGCGCTATTGGCGGCAATCACCATCAACCGTCTGAACGATAATTTAGAATTTCAATTTTTTTTATCATCATCGTACTATTTTATTTTTATACATTAACAATTTATAATCATATTATTTTTAATCCGAATCATTTTTATAGGTTGAACCTAAATAATATGCTGAAATTATTTTTATTATTTTTTTTTTTTTACTATTATTATTTTATTATTACACACACTATGATTATCGAACTTTATTATTATTGATTACATAATACTTGTAACATTTTTAATTAATTAGGTGATTTTTATTTTTTTGGCTACACTGAGTATTTATATTAAAATTAAAATACATATGATTATTACTTTGATACTGACTATATTGTAGTAATAATAATGAAAAATATTGTAGCTTTTAAGATATATTTTTACAAACAAAATTAGCTGTCTAGCAGCCATAGTTTTTTTTAGCTTAATTAGTAGTTGCGATTTAAAAGAAAACAACCTTTGTATGATTGATTGTTTTTTTTATTGTAACAAATAATTTTCTTATGACTACACGCACATGCGACTTTTGTTTTATGTCTATTTACAAAATAATAAAACAATAAGACGCGACATTTGAATAATTGATTATATATATATATTTATATATATATATATATAGTATCATTTTACATAATATAATATATGTACGCATGAATATATATTTACAAAATACAATATTGTTCTTTTTATATTCATACATACATTTTTGCAAATTCAGTACATAAAGTATTTGACACGATAATGAAATAGTATACTCAGTTAGCCTTTATGAAATGGCCAAACAGTCTAATGCTAATAGCTAATCTATTGAAATTTCTGCTCGAGTGTCACCTGACTCTTGCCGTTGGACTAGTACCACTGACATTTTCAGTTATAGAATCCTTGGATAGATTGAGCGGCACACAATCTAAAAGAGTAAAATAAAAATATTAAATATATAATTATAATATTATGTATAACTAACATGCATAGAAGTTAATTTTTCGGTTAAAAATTAGAATTTAGTAAATATTTTCACTCAGCAGAACACAATTCACTCTGTTAGTTGAAAGTGTAGAGTAAATTTACCTCTTATAAAATGTAAAGGCACTATTATTATCTAGGGCGTTTCATAGGCTTTTATAAAATTACAATTCAGGTTAATTTCCAAACTAACGGATCTAAACATTATCTGTTAAGCGTACAATTAGACATGTAATGCACTTGTAAGATGGAAACTATGTCCCGCTTACTCAACCTTTTATGATGCCCACCACAAGATTTTGCGTTTCTCAAACAAAATATTGAAGAATACTAAGGAAAGAAAATCATGTAGAAACTGATAAGAAGCGCCAGAATGACATTTTGAAAATAGAATGTAGTGTTGGACGAATATTGTTTTTTTAATTTCGAGTCGAGTTYAGCATTCGAGTACTCGATTTATTCCGAGTATGAAAGAAATAAAGTCGAGTACTCGATAAAAGCCGAGTATTAAAAAAAGTCGAGTACTTCACAATTTCTGAAAATTAAAAATAGTCAATCATTGACAAAAGTATTTGGAGTACCGGGAATTGGTTTAATACTCTAGTATTTTCAATTGTACTAAAAATAGATTTTCCGATCTTTCATGCATGCAGCAATTTATTTTTATAACTTAAAAATTACTCGATTCAAGTCGAATACTCGACCAACACTAACAGAATGTTAAGAATAATGGAATACGGAGTCATATATATTGATATTTAATTTTATGAATAATATAGGCTGTTTTATAATAATAATAATAAAGGTTACTTGGCTTCTTTATACGTGCGATAAGATTAGGACTGGGAAAAATCAAATCCGATAACTGAGGATAGTTAACTTCGCTAATCCTACCATATTATTTGATCAAGAAACATGAGAATGTCGTCACATCAAATAAATTGATAGTAGAGATGCAATACGAGATTCAAATGTTCATCGAATAAACTAAATAAATACTCAAAATAATAGCACGGACTGCCTTCGTACCATAGACCTTAAAGTATAAGATCTATGCTTGGCACATCCAAATTAGCCACAACAAAATAACGTCCGATCTTCTACTCCCAGCAATACGTAGGCGCCTTGCAATAGCTATCGGAGTAGCAGGCAACGGCAATGTGTGAGGTAAGTTTAAATGGCAAGGACTTATTATTATAAGTTAAGCACTCATAGGATTTAACACTAAGTCACTAATTTGTGAACAAAGTTTTCGTACTGAGCGTGATATATGTATGTCTGCAATATAAATTCGCCATCGAGCGAACATACTTTAAACTTTCTCAAGTTACTTCTTATAAAATGTATACATGGTAATACAAAGATCATAAGAGCCTTTTAGACTATAAGAAAATGAAGAGGTCATTACTTGTTCATAAAATATTAGGTGTATTAGCATTCATTTCAACAGCGAAAATAAAATAGAAATCAAAGCAAGTAGATTAGTAGAATCTGGTGCTGTTAAATAAAGAAYATACCGAGGCACAAGGTAGGAAACTAATTGCACAACAAAATCATGGGCAGTTTCACTGGTAGACGCACCCCAGAAGTTTAGACAGAAACGCAGATAATGCAGACGCCTTTTTTAACAACTTCCGATGGCAAAGGGTTTTTAACAATTATTGATGACTATTTACACTAACAGATACCAAGCGGTCGTATTTTAGTGGGTGAAAACTTGTGACGAACACATGGGAGTTATCATTTACAAACGTCAAGGATGTGGATAATGAATATCGTAAGCAAATTAACAGAATAATAATTGCACTGACATCATTAACAATTTTATGATAAATAATTATCTTGTAACGTAAACTTTGGAAAATTCTCCATATAAAGCAATTCGAGTTATTGGTACACTTACCGGCAGAAGAGGATGACTCTTCATCTAGGGTAGCTACAACTCCAGAGTTATTTTCTTCTATGCAAACGCCATATTCAGTAGCACCCAACGCCATACCACTTCTTTTTTTGAAGCTACTACCCTGTTGTCGATGGTTGAGCTGATGAAACGATGATGGTTGTCGTTGTAACGTGGGTGCTGGTTGATACTGCTGCTGACGGTGTAACAATAAATGGTGACGGTGAACATGATGAGGATGCAACATTAATGGAGGAGGTGGTGGCGACGGAGTAGCAGGTGGCAATAAACTACTGCCATTGACAGTGGCAGCTACCAAAGGCGAAGAGTAAGGTGCCACGACCGTGGATGTAGACGAAGGGATGGCGGCGTTGGTAACTCCACTTCCAACAATCGCTTCTGGTTGATGCACAAGAGACGGCTGCCGGTTCAAWTGACGTTGCCAAGTGCTACTGGTACCACTGGTGATGGGAAATTGTGAGGACAACAAAGATGGTGGTTGAGATTTAGGTAACGGCTGAGGCAGTTGTGCGTTGGTTTGATATGCCATAGCAGCAGCAGCCATTGCGGCTCGATGGTACAACACATTAAAGTAACCAGCTGCGGCTAACTGCCCAGCAGCCGGGTGGTGAATAGTTGGAAGTTGATGAAGAGCAGTTAGAACGGCAGAAGTATTATCTGATGTATTACCACCAACAGATGGTATAGAAATGGTCGGAGTTCCGAGGCCATTTTCAGCTTTAATGGCAGCAGCGTTAATAGATGGTGTTGATAAAACAGCTGTAGATTCGACTGATGATCTTTTTCTGCTGCTATTTGTATGATGTCTATATCCAATACCATTTGTACTAGTAGTTATAGGTGATGAACCACTTTCACAGCTCGGACTCTTAAGCAACGTACGCAATAAGGATAGCGGCGCAGGTGACGGCGTATGAAGGTTTTTATGTGGTGACAATACTGCACTAGTAGTAGTAGTTGTGGTAACAACGCCATTTTCTGGATCCATTATCATTGAAACAGCACTGCTAATACTAGAGCGTTTGGCCGCAGTCGCACCACTAGACAATATAGCAGTTATACTATGGTCGTTGGTGGAAATAACTTGCGGAGGAGGTTGTGGAATAGCTTTTTTCGCAATTTTATCTACTACCACTCGTCGTTGCGGTGGTAGTATCTGTTCTGTCGGCTGCTCGTATCCTAATTTATATTTTTTGTGAGGACTACTATTGCTACTTTTATTATTAAGGGTCATTGAAGCAGTGGTGATAGGAATTAGGACAGCGGTGGAGGGCGATGGAGAAACCATCGATCGCCGCTTGCTACCTCCAGTATTGGGACAAGCGGCATCGATAACGCTTGGCACAGAAACGTGGCGTGAAGCCACCGTGTGGGTAACATCAACAACAGTGGAAATAGTAGCAGTAACATTGTCTCCACTATTGTTGATCGAGAGTTGCCTGCGCAACAATAATTCCGTTGTATGTCGCCGACACCACAGATTCCGTATAATGCATTCTAAATTAATTTGTGGGGGATTAAGTTCTTGTAACAAGGAGTTTTTAGTCATCGATTTTCTATTTCGTTGACACCAGAGATGCTGCTTTTTTGGCAATGACAATAAACGCCTCTGAACCTTGATTGCCTCAGTGGCAACCATTATGAACGACTGATGTTGGTGTTGCTGTGAGCGTCTCGGTAAACCTCGAAGTTGGGTTGGTGGTTGACAGCGTTGATGTTCAAAATCGGTAATATTTTCTGCTGTTACAGTAGTTGAACACTTTCTAGAAGGTCTGCGAACAATATTTGTCGTTGTTGCAACTACTATTCCACCTGTATTAACAGCACCGTCAATGAGAGAAAGTGGAGGGGGCGTCGTTCTGTGTTGAAAATTCGGTTGCTTCCGTTCACCAATCCTTACAGTTGGTGGTTGTGATTGCTGTATCGGTTGAGGTGTGTTACTGTCAGGGGTATTATTGGTAGCCGAGTAAGGCCATATTGTTTTATTTTGCTGATGCTGTGACCATTCACCTATGCCCTTAACATTATTTTTATGCTGCTGTATCACTGTCGGAACTGGTACCCAACGGCATGGAGATGTCAAAGCAGACGGATTGTTGCATGGATTTTGTTGGTGATGTGCTGCTAGTTGGAATATAAACTTGCCGTCTGTAAACATGAAACCAAAAAGCTTATTTAATTTACATTGACATATTTAAATGGTAGCAACTAATAATCTTATATTCATTATTAAAATCTATTTTTATACTAAATTAATACTAACATTTCAAATTTAATTAATTCATACAATACATCAAAATCTTAAAATAATACATACTTACTCAGTAATTGATTATTTTAAGATAAACATGTAAAAATATTTTTACACCTGAACATATCAAATATTATATATATTATATGAAAAATTGTAATCAGTTACTAAAAAAATATTTATCCAAAGTAAAAACGAAATGTCATAATAAAAATAAATTTAACTACACCAAAAAGTCAAATATTGGATTAAAATTCATAGGTAATAGTTGATATATATATATATATATTCTTATAATATGTAAGTACTTATAACGGCTGTAATTATTATGCAACAAAATTAATCCAAAATATTTACGATAATGAGTAATTTGCATAATCTCAAATTGTAAAAAATATGCATTGTAATTTGCACTAAGTTTTAAATAGATTATTTTTTTCGATAGAATGTATGCACATTTCAATGGTAGAGTATAAAATATTGAATAATTGAGATTTGAGATTTGAGAAACTAATAACTGTAATAAGAAATAACACAGAATATTCTGTTTTAGTTTCTTATTTCACACTGATACAGTATTACTGGCTTAATTAAATATGAACACTTTCAATATATTATATAATCACCCTAAACATAGGTAAGAATTTAATTTATGTTACTACCTTTATTTATTCAAAATATTTAATATGCACGCTAAATATTTCATGTTTAAGATCAATGTGACATTTGTTTAAGAACATTACTTTGTAAACGATATAATTTTTAATTAATAAGAACAAATAGGATTTGCTTAGACAGAATACATAAGAAATTGGTTATATTTTGTTGCATTTAAACAGGCATAAGACATTGAATTTATATGTAGAATTTGATAGCATAATAAATCATAATATTATAAAATGTAATGCAAGTTTACTTAAATAAATTTTGTTGATAGTTCAAAAAGCAAAAACTTTTGTAATGGCTTTTTGATATACATAAGTAAGTTATGTATAATTAAAATAAACTAGTAGTACCAACACAAATAAAAATAAATTTTAAATTGTATTCTAACAAACAACAGACTTAAGTTAGAAATACATGAAATAGTATTTCATTCAAAACTTCAATAACAATTAGGCAGTATTTATCATGATTAAGACTTATCTCAAATAAAAATGAATACAATTAATTAATAATCTATAGACTGTTCAAAACGTTGATTAACTATACCAGTAGTTCCCAACTTGTTTTTCTGCAATGGCTTTTTTGGACCAAATACAGCCGTCCTGTTGTGAATACCATGAGAGACAGGACTTGAGAATACTCATCAATAATGAAATTTTGAGTCTTAGACCACGATGCCCTTAGAAAATGCTAGTGGTGCTTCTAGTTCACAGTTTGGGAACCACTGAGCTATACTAATCACTTTTTTCCAAATAATTGGTACTAAAAATGTAATATGTCTAATGTCTTAACTTTTTTTTCTGTACCTATATTATATTTTTAAGAACTAGAAAAGCTTAATCAATAGAATAAACACCTATATAAAAACTGATACCATAACTCTGGTTTAAAGATTACTAAGAATATTCTAACCTATTTAAAATCCAAAAACTTCATAG